GAGTAAAGTCAACTAATCGCTATAAAAGCAACAAGTTTATTCACTTTTATTGAGTAAAGTCAACTAATCGCTTTAAAATCAACAAGTTTACTCACTTTTATTAAGTAAAGTCAACTAATCACTTTAAAACCAATGGGGTTACTCTTTTTTTTTATGAAGTAAACGAATCGCTTTAACAGCAATGGGTTTATTCACTTTTATTAAGTAAAGTCAACTAATCGCTTTGAAATCAACAATTTTACGCACTTTTATTAAGTAAACTAATCACTTTAAAACGAAAAAGTTTACTCACTTTTATTAAGTAAAGTCAACTAATCGCTTTAAAATCAACAATTTTACTTACTTTTATTAAGTAAAGTTAACTAATCGCTTTTAAACTAACAGGTTTATTTTTTATGAAGTAAACTAATCGCTTTAAAAGCAATGGGTTTACTCACTTTTATTAAGTCAACTAATTGATTTTAAATTAATCAGTTTACTCATTTTTAATAAGTAGAGTCAACTAATCACTGTAAAACCAACAAGTTTACTCATTTCTATTGAGTAAAGTCAACTAATTAAGTAAAGTCAACTAATCGATTTAAAGCCAACAGGTTTACTCACTTTATTAACTGAGTCGACTAATCGATTTAAAAGCAACACGTTTAGTCACTTTTATACCCAAATAATCGCTTTAAAACCAAGGAGTTCACTTACTTGTATTAAGTAAAGTCAACTAATCGCTTTAAAAGCAACAGGTGTACTCACTTATCAAGTAGTCTACTAATCCCTTTAGAAAGCACCAAGTTTACTCACTTTTATTGAGTAAAGTCAACTAATCGCTTTAAAATCAACAAGTTTACCCACTTTTATTAAGTAAAGTCAACTAATCACTTTAAAACCAATGGGGTTACTCTTTTTTTATGAAGTAAACAAATCGCTTTAACAGCAATGCGTTTATTCATTTTTATTAAGTAAAGTCAACTAATTGCTTTAAAATCAACAATTTTACTCACTTTTATTAAGTAAAGTCAACTAATCGCTTTTAAACTAACAGATTAATTTTTTATGAAGTAAACTAATCGCTTTAAAAGCAATGGGTTTACTCACTTTTATTAAGTCAACTAATTGATTTTAAATCAATCAGTTTACTCATTTTTAATAAGTAGAGTCAACTTATCGCTGTAAAACCAACAAGTTTACTCATTTCTATTGAGTAAAGTCAACTAATCGCTTTTAAATCAACAAGTTTACGCACTTTTATTAAGTAAAGTCAACCAAGCGCTTTAAAAGCAACGGGTTTACTCACTTTTTACAAGTTCGGTCAACTAATTGCTCTCTACAGTTTGTTGATATGACTGGTTTAAGAAAATTTAGATTTGCGCTGAAAAATAATAAATAAAACAAAGATATTAAGTAAGAAAATCATTTTTTGAGACGCATACAGGCATTACGCATGAATCGTGTGTTTTAATCGGGCATTTTCTTGTGCTTTGGATGAAGATATGAAGACATTTTAAGTGCATAGCATTTGACGAACATGAAGCCCTAATTCAGTTTCCATATGTAAAGATGCACGCGAGAATCAACAGAAGCAATACAACTACATCCTCCTCGGTATTTATCCAATATCAACGTCAGGCCTTGTGCTGATTTGTTTTCTGTCATTAAATCTTCATGTTTCGAAGGCGACTCCTTTATCCTGTAATGTTTACATTCTGATTGGCCAGAGATCTTTGGAGATGGTTTTACAAAAACTAAATAAAAACATTTAGATGAGCTACATAAGCTAAAAGGACACTTTTAAAAAACAAATGATAAACGGACACGTAAAAGCATACTGAGTGTAAAACGACTATGACACGAAATCTGAAATTATTCTAGTGGACAGAGACTACCTTCATATTAATGCGAACTAGTATTTGATTTCAGCTTTCTGTAAATAAAATGCCAGCATGTGCGCAGGTGAACTAGTGTTAATATTACGCTTGTTTACTTGGTGCATTATGGGTGATGTAGTTTAAGACATGCAGGTCAACAATGCATTTAGAGGAATGGGAGAGGGACAAAACAAAAGCTGATTATTTTTTTGTTACAGTCGGCTGATGGGCATCTTATAGCCCCGCCTCCAATAATGGGTATGGCATTGGCATGTAACTCCGCCCATTTTATAAAAAAGGTGAGCTTTTATAGTTTTAGAATATTAACTGGTGCTTTTAGTTTCCTCAAATGGGACGAAAACATTGTTTACAAAAAATGACCATGGTAATTATAGAATCCACCACTTCTCTGAAAGCTTCCGTATTCATTTGTTATCATTTCATTTAAAGGGACAGTTCACCCAAAAATGAACATTAACTCTTCTGTTCAACAATAAAGAGTTGTTTATGTCATGATTATAAAGGTTTCATGACAATCTTATGAACACCCCTGCTAGTCAAGTGTTACTAGATATACTTTTGGAAACCATATCTGGCAACACTTTGCTTCAAGGCCGTGTTCATAAGACTGTCATGATAAGTTCATGATCACACATCATGAATATGTATGAAATTTTATGTTTGCTTATGACAACTGTCATTAAGTGTTATTACCCAGTTATGTCGTTTTAAATACAAAAGATGACAATGTTTGAGATTACTTTTTTAAAACTTGACATAAATATATCATAACCCGTCTTTGTAGTTGTTATGACAACTTGACATTAAGACATCATGAGTTGTCATAAATCAGTCATAAACATTATTATAATTAGACCTTTATAATTGTGTCATGACTTTTATGTGTCATTAATATTTTTCTTGATCTCAACTACTATGGAATTTGTCATTAAAATGTAGATAAATGTCATATGTTTATATTCATGACAGTTATAATGGCCTTGTGACAGTCATGGTTATGACATGTTTATGACAGTCATGTTGTCTCGCTAATTAAAGTGAAGCAGTCATAAAGACATTTCAAGCAATGTCATCTTTGCATTTAAATGACACAACTGAAACTTAAAGACAGTTGTCAAAAGCATGCTTAAAATCTCATTCATATTAATGCTGTGTGTCAAGTCATGATTATAAATGTGTCATGACAGTCTTATGAACACCCCTTCTTGTAAAGTGTCACCAGATAAACTTTCAAAAACCATATCTAGCAACACTTTACTTGAAGGCGGTGTTCATAGCACTGTCATGACAAGCTTATGATCATGACATATCATGAACATGAATGACATTTTATGGTTGCTTATGACAACTGTCATAAAGAGTCATAAGCTCAGTTATGTCAATTCAAATAGAAAGAGGACATTGTTTGAGATGTCTTTGTTATGACAACTTGACAAATACATCCAAACCTGTCTGTATTTGTTTTGACCATTTTACATTAAGACATCATAACCTGTCATAACCCTGTCATAAACATGATTGTCATTAGACCTTTATAATTGTGTCATGATTTTTATGTGCCATTAATTATTTTCTTGACCTCAACTATGGAATTTGTCATTAAAATGTAGATAAATGTCATAATTATATTCATGACGGTTATAATGGCCTTGTGACGGACATGGTTATGACATGTTTATGACAGTCATTAGTCTAGCTAATTAATGTCAAGCTGTCATAAAAACATTTCAAGCAATGTCATCTTTGCATTTAAATGACACAACTGAAACTTAAAGACAGTTGTCAAAAGCATGCATAAAATCTCATTCATATTAATGCTGCATGTCAAGTAATGATTATAAATGTGTCACGACAGTCTTATGAACACCTCTTCTTGTAAAGTGTCACCAGATATACTTTCGGAAACCATATCTGGCAACACTTTACTTGAAGGCGGTGTTCATAACATTGTCATGACAAGCTTGTGATCATGACATATCATGAACATGAATGACATTTTATGGTTGCTTATGACAACTGTCATAAAGAGTCATAAGCTCAGTTATGTCAATTCAAATAGAAAGAGGACATTGTTTGAGATGTCTTTGTTATGACAACTTGACAAATACATCCAAACCTGTCTGTATTTGTTTTGACCATTTTACATTAAGACATCATAACCTGTCATAACCCTGTCATAAACATGATTGTCGTTAGACCTTTATAATTGTGCCATGACTTTTATGTGTGCCATTAATTATTTTCTTGACCTCAACTATGGAATTTGTTATTAAAATGTAAATAAATGTAATATGTTTATATTCCTGACAGTTATAATGGCCTTGTGACAGTCATGGTTATGACATGTTTATGACAGTCATGTTGTCTTGCTAATTAATGTCAAGCTGTCATAAAAACATTTCAAGCAAAGTCATCTTTCCATTCAAAATGACACAACTGAAACTTAAAGACAGTTGTCAAAAGCATGCATAAAATCTCATTCATATTAATGCTGCGTGTCAAGTCATGATTATAAATGTGTCACGACAGTCTTATAAACACCCCTTTTTGTAAAGTGTTACCAGATCTACTTTCGGAAACCATATCTGGCAGCACTTTACTTGAAGGCGGTGTTCATAACATTGTCATGACAAGCTTGTGATCATGAAATATCATGAACATGAATGACATTTTATGTTTGCTTATGACAACTGTCATAAAGAGTCATAAGCTCAGTAATGTCAATTCAAATAGAAAGAGGACATTGTTTGAGATGTCTTTGTTATGACAACCTGACATAAACACATCCAAACCTGTCTGTATGTGTTTTGACCACTTGACATTAAGACATCATAACCTGTCATAAACCTGTCATTAGACCGTTATAATTGTGTCATGATTTTTATATGTGCCATTAATTATTTTCTTGACCTCAACTATGGAATTTGTCATTAAGATGTAAATAAATGTATGTATATTTATGTTTATATTCATGACAATTATAATGGCATTGTGACAGTCATGTTTATGACAGGTTTATGACAAGTCATTTTGTCTTTGTTATGTCAAGTTGTCATAAAGACATTTCAAACAAAGTCACATTTGCATTTAAAATGTCATAACTGACACTTAAAGACAGATGACATAAGCATGCATAAATCTCATTCATATTTATGCCGTGTGTCATGTCATGATTATAAATGTGTCATGACAGTCTTATGAACACCTCTTTTAGTCAAGTGTTACCAGATACACTTTCGGAAACCATATCTGGCAACACTTTACTTGAAGTCGGTGTTCATAGGACTGTCATGAGACCTTTTAATCATGACATGACACATCATGAGTATAAATGACATTTTATGTTTGCTTATGACAACTGTCATTAAGTGTCATAAGCTCAGTTAAGTCATTTCAAATACAAAGATGACATTGTTTGAGATGTCTTTGTTACGACAACTTGACATAAATATATCATAACCAGTTATTGTAGCTGTTATGACAACTTGACATTAGGACATTATAAGTTGTTATAAACCTATCATAAACTATGGAATTTGTCATTAAAATGTAAAAAAGTGTCAAATGTTTATATTAATGATAATTGTATTGGCCTTGTGACTGTCATGTTTATGACATGTTTATGACAGATCATGTTGTCTTGGTTTTGTCAAGATGTCATAACAAATACATTTAAAATGAAGTCACCTTTGCATTTAAAATGTAATAACTGACACTTAAAGACAGGTGACATAAGCATGCATAAATCTCATTCATATTCATGCTGTGTGTCATGTCATGATTATTAATGTGTCACGACAGTCTTATGAACACCCCTTCCAGTGAAGTAATGCATATCTTCCTTTGAGTCACTCAAGTGTAAAGCATGACATAACTTTGATTATTGGGTGTACTGTCTCTTTAAATAAATAAATTTTTTGGCAAACACAGTTACCATGGTAGATTTTGGCTGCATTTCTTGTTTATGCTGGTTATGCGGCCAATGACGAAAGACATTAGCGATGTTACGGATCATATTCGAGGTGACTCATTAAGCAGTGTCATGCTGTTAAATAGTCAGGCTGATGACTGACGGGTGGTGTATCCAAATTTGTGCTTGGCCCCCATAAGTGGCTCTGGGACCTTTGATAAATAAAAGTGACTAGCGCTGATAAAAGTCTATGGGACGTCTTCAACTCCACCCTCCCAGCAGACCGTCTGTCACAGGAGAGAGTCCTGTCTCTTCTCTGATTGGCCAGCATTCTTTGAGTGGCGGGAACGGTGTGCGATGGGGCGTCGGCTTGGAGGTTGAAGAGGCGGGGTTGGGAAAGTGGGCGGTTCTAAGAGGCCGGTTTGCTGTAGCCGAATAATCCCACTGGCAGATACTTGACGTGAGTTGGCCACTGCGCGGCTAACTGGAAGAACTTCACGTCGTTCCACTCTCCTCCATCAATAGTGACTAGAAAAAAACGAGGAATACAGTTATTTTCTGCTGTACTGTTCAGTTGCTTAACTCAGTGTTTCCCAACCCTGTTTCTGAAGGCACACCAACAGTACACATTTACAACCTCTCCCTAATCAAACACACCTGAATCAATCCATCAGAACATAAGAAGAGACTCCAAAACCTGAAGTTAATGGGTCAGATAAGGGAAGACTTTTGGTGCGCCTCCAGGAACAGGGTTGGGAAACACTGGTTTAGCTGACATTGTGGTAGATTTCTGGCTGTAATGTACCTTTCAGGATGGTCTGCTGCTGTTTGGCCGAACAGATGAGCCGACTGATGCCCTCGATCACCTGACTCTTACAGTCCATCTCCTTCTCTTTAGGCTTCTTCCCCAGGAAAATAGTTGGAACTGCAAAAAGGAGAGCAGTGTACTGATTTCTGTCTCAATGGGATCTATTTTAGCGATCTATGCACATGGTCTAAAGCATGGTCTTTGCAATTTTAAGGTAAAACAATCTGTGCACCGGGCGCATTGTCTAAAGCAGTGGTTTTCAAACTGTGGGTCGCGACCCACTAGTGGGTCGCACAGTGAACAAAGGTGGGTTGCGCAACGTTACATAGCTGAAGCAATATTTACATTGCGGTAAATCAAAACCAGTACGATAGACGGCAATAACTCAAAAACCTCTTATCCTAAAAATATCTAAAGTGTGTTTCCTACAAAAAGACAAAGCTGGTTATGTTTTAGAGCTGTCTTTTTCTTTTTTTTGGCTCGACATTACGATGAATCTCTCATTGTGTTTGAATCTCTCATTGTGTTTTGTTTGATAACAGGTGTTAATGTAAGAATGCACAGATCTATATTGAAGCATCCGACTACTTTAGTAACTGTTTGTGCTCATTTAAGAGAAAATTAGTAGTGTTTTAAATAAAACACGCAGGGCGGAGCATAAAAAATAAATAAATAAAAAATAAATTAGCACTTTTCCAACGGTCCCTTATTAAGAGCTCCGCACAGCGCAAGCTCTATCGGCTAAACGAAGATTGCAGGACCCAATCAAACCGGCAACAACCATCCGTGATCCCCTCGCTCCCACTTTCGTCCACAACAACCATTCCCCCCGAAACCCCCATACCCACCCGCCCCTACACTTCTCTTTCGTTTGCGACAACCCCAACACCACAACAAGGAAATTAATCTGTTTGTGTGCGAGATTAAAGTGAACAAACCAACCAACGGGATTCCACCAAGGCCACCTGAGGTGTAAAGGTGCGGAGGAGGTAGGCTATTAAATTTATATAGACATTAATAATCTTTTATATTTTCCTCCCTTATTTTATCATATTTAAAAATATTTCGGTGTTGCTGCGCATCCCTGTGTGTGTAATAAGCAACATGTACTTCTGTTGACTTTACATTGTCTTTAGATCAGCTTTAAGTTGTTTACTGGGGTGGTCTTTCAGAGCAGGTCTTTCAGGCGAAACTAGGAAAAAAAAGTGTAGCAGAGGACAGCTAGTAAAGTGCTGCGCAGGTAAACCTCACTCCTCTGACCTCTAAAGGTGCTATAACAACAGAAGCTAGGCTCCATGGTCTTTAATATCCTTGTTAGAGTAACTAACTACCATGCGGAGATTCGCTGGTTCGATCCCAGCTCGGAAGGGGTTGGGTGGTGTAAGACCGGTAAGGGTACATTGGTGCCGTGACCCAGATGGGAGCGAGGATTAGGGGGGTGAGTGTAGCGGAGGTCAGCTAGCAAAGTGCTATGCAGGTAAACCTCACTCCTCTGACCTTTAAAGGTGCGCTAGTGACAGACGCAAGGGGCTATTTTCTTTAGCCTCCTTGTTAGAGCAACTGACTCCCATGCAGAGAGTCGCTGGTTTGATCCTAGCTCGAAGAGAATTGGGTGGTGTATGGCCGGCGGAGTTACATTGGTGCCGTGACCTGGATGGGAGTGAGAATTAGGGGGGTGAGTGTGGTGGAGGTCAGCTAGTAAAGTGCTATGCAGGTAAACCTCACTCCTCTGACCTCTAAAGGTGCTATAACAACAGATGCTCGGCTCCATGGTCTTTAATATCCTTGTTAGAGTAACTGACACCCATGCGGAGAGTCGCTGGTTCAATCCCAGCTCGGAAGGGGTTGGGTGGTGTAGGGCGGGTAAGGGTAAACTGGTGCCGTGACCCGGAAGGGAGTGAGAATTAGGGGGGTGAGTGTGGCGGAGGTCAGCTAGCGAAGTGCTCTGCAGGTAAACCTCACTCTGACCTCTAAAGGTGTTCTAGCGACAGACGCTAGAGGCCATGGTCTTTAGCCTCCTTGTTAGAGCAACTGACTCCCATACGGAGAGTCGCCGGTTTGATCCCAGCTTGGAGGAGGTCAGCACTGGCAACACTGACAATCAGCAAAAAGGGTTGCGTCTAGTGACTATTATGGACATATCAAAAATGGGGGGCCGGAGTTCTGGTGAACACAAGGCGCAGTACTCAGGAATGGGTTTTAAAAAAGTGCACTGTCAAAATCCATGAGATACAATATCATGTAGGTAATGTAATAACGAAGCCCGGACCCATTAAAAGAAGGAAACCAATGTGTTGCGACTCAGGATACCCGGACAAACCACAAAGAGCGCCTCCTACGTCATGATATGACGGTCAATTAAACAGTTGTCATGCCAATTTTCTACTATAAACAGAAGTTCAAAATGGTTGCCCCGCCTCCAAGCTCTTCTGATTGGTCCACTGCTGTGGAACTGACAGTGATGAGCTGTGCTGCGTGTGAGAGTTTATGATCTTTTCAAGTGCATTAGAGAGGAAAAACATTCTGTGTGAACGGCCCATTGTAATTAAAAAGAATCACAATAGTGCAACATTATTCGCTTTCGACCAACATCAATCTTTGTTGGAGAATTATATTTAACGGCACAGAGGTCAGTGAACGAGAGTCGGCTCACCCTTCTTGTTCTTCTCTTTGGTGACCACCGTCATGGCCATAGTGTTGACGTGTGGCTGTGTGTCGCTGGCGACTCCTCCTGGCAGCCGGCTGACCTGTAGAGACCAGAAGGCGCTCTTCAGAGTGTTTTTACAGCCGGTGTCCCTGCGCTCGCCCTCACGCCGCTTCTCTGCCAGAGACGCCAGCCAGTAGTCAACCTGCAGACCGATGGCGTCCACTGCGTGAGACATGCTGGGGCTGCTGGAACACACACACACACACACACACACACAGAAAACACATTACAGAGACATTTAACACATTTGCGTGCCTTCTAATAATCTGAGCTGGTTTTACCTCACTTCTACTGGTCTTACATGTGGCTTTTACTGGTTTTACATGGCTTCCAGAAATTTTAGATTGATTCTAATGGCCAAACTGGTTTTAGTTGGCTCCTACTGGTTTTAAATGGTTTGTAATGATGTACTGTACACCGCTTGTGATGTAATGGTTTTCATGGCTTCTTATGGTCCAAACTAATTTTACATGAATTATAATGATCAGAACTGGTTTTGCATGGCTCCCATTGCCTTTAAACGGGTTGTAATGGTTTTAAACGGCTTCTACTGGTCCAAGATAAATTTACATGGCTTTAACTGGTTTTACATGGCTCCAAAGATTTAAGATGGCTCTAATCCAAAATAGTTTTGCATGGCTTCTAACGGTCTGAGCTGGTTTTACGTGGCTTTTACTGGTCTGAGTAGGTTTTTACATGGCTTCTAATGGTTTTACATGGCTTCTACTGGTTTTACGTTTTAATAGTCTGAGCTGGTTTTACATGGCTTCTACTGGTCTGAGTTGGTTTTTACATGGCTTCTAATGTTTTTACATGGCTTCTAATGGTTTTACATGGCTTCTACTGGTTTTACATTCTAATGGTCTGAGCTGGTTTTACATGCCTTTACTGTTTTTAAAAGGCTTGTAATGGTTTTACATGGCTTCTACAAGGTTTCCATGGCTTCTAATGGCTTTACATGGCTTCTACTGGTCTGAGCTGGTTTTACATGGCTTAAAATGGATCCGACTGGTTTTAAAAGGCTTTTAATGGGTTGATCGGGTTTCACATGGCTTACACTGGCTTTAAATCCTTTGTAATGATTTTACGTGGCTTGCAAGGGCTTTACATTACGTCTTTACATTGTCAGAGCTGGTTTTACATGACTTCTACCAGCCCAAGTTAGTTTTACATGTCGTCTAATAAGTTTAAATTGCTTTTACTGGTTTTCCACTGATTTTACACAGCTTCTACTGGTTTTACATGGATTCTAATGGTTTGAGCTGGTTTTACATGATTTCTACTGGTTTTTAATGGCTTCTAATGGCTTTTGTACTGCTTTAACTGGTTTTACATGGCTTCTACTGGTTTTAAATGATTTGTAGTGGTTTTACACGGCTTCTAATGGCTTTACATTGTCTGAGCTGGTTTTAAATAGCATTGATTGGATTTACATGGCTTCTAATGGTTTTACATGGCTTCTACTGGTCTGAGCTGGTTTTACATGGTTTCTACTGGTCTGGTCTGAGCTGGTTTTACATGGCTTCCAATGGTTTTACATGCTTTCTACTGGTCTTAGCTTGTTTAACATGGCTTCTAATGGCTTTAAATGGATCCGACTGGTTTTACAAGGCTTCTAATGGGTTAATCTGGTTTTACATGGCTTCCACAGATTTCACATGGCTTCTATCGGTCTAGTTTTATATGGATTCTAATGGTTTGAGCTGGTTTTACATGGCTTCTACTGGCTTTAAATGCTTTGTAAAGATTTTACGTGGCTTCCAAGGGCTTTAAATTACGTCTTTACATTGTCAGAGCTGGTTTTACATGACTTCTACTGGCCCAAGCTAGTTTTACATGTCGTCTAATAAGTATACATTGCTTTTACTGGTTTTCCACTGATTTCACACAGCTTCTACTGGTTTTACATGGATTCTAATGGTTTAAGCTGGTTTTACATGACTTATACTGAGTTTAAATGGCTTCTAATGGCTTTATATTGCTTTAACTGGTTTTACTTGGCTTCTACTGGTTTTAAATGATTTGTAGTGGTTTTACATGGCTTCTAATGGCTTTACATGGTCTGAGCTGGTTTTAAATAGCATTGATTGGTTTTATATGGCTTTTAATGGATTTACATGGCTTCTAATGATCCAAGCTGGTTTTAAATGACTATTAATTGATTGTAAGGGTTTTACACGACTTTTAATGGTCTGATCTGTTTTTACATGGCTCCTACAGATTTTGCTTGGCTTCTTAAGATATGAACCGGTTTTACATCCTTTCCACGGGTCTAAGATGGTTTAACATGGTTTCTTTTGGACCTCCAGCCAGTTGGCAAGCTGGTAGACCATTTTCAATCAGCCAAAACCAGCTCAAATCAGCATGACCGGCTTTGTTTTGCATGACCTGCTTTCTCCAGCAGGGATTACGGAGTCATTCGTGAAACCTTGTGATCTTCAAATTCCCTCAGTAATGCAGGAGCGTGCGTGAGGAAAGTCACTCACCCCTGCACAGCCAGACCACCGCCGATGGACGGGGATGAGGGCGGCGTCGCTGTCTCTTTAAGACTGGCTGGTGAGCCGTGAGAGGGCGGAGATGTGGAGGGGACAGCCAAACTCACAGCCATGCCCTCTTCTGCGTCGCCTACGAAACAGGAGCAGTGAGCCTTTGTGCGTGTGCCAGAGTCAGAAGAAAAGACATGCAGCATTATTAAATCGGCTCATGCAAATACACAGCACACACCTGCTGAAGACTGACCCGGCTCAATCAAGCCCACCTTTACCACCTGAGGGATGACAAGAATTTATTAAATGAACACACATACTTATTTAAAGTTCTCTGCATAAATGAGTACACTCCTCAGAGATACAGAATATCTTTTATATTCATATTTTCTATAAGAAAAAATTGAGAAAAATCGTAATCGTTAGAAAAACATATGAAATAAAACACATTTAAATGACATAAAATATAGTAATGAAATGCAAAAAAAGTCCAAGGGCAAAACCCCCTCAAATACACAATATTTTTATACATTTAATGTATTATGATAAATGATCTAAAATATGATGCGTTGGGTGACATTTGTGATTAACTCTAGAAATGATACAGCTGTGGATACTCGCATCAATATAGCATCATTTCTATGACAATGTACAAAGATTACTGTTAGGGTTGTGTTTAGTGGTAGACATTAATAAAATACAGTTTAATGGGTAATGTAATAAATAATATCAATAATGCTCTGTATAATTGCTACTTGTTACATTATTGTGAGGATTGGGCTGGGGTAGACATTTATAAAATACAGTTTAATGGGTAATTTGATTAATAATATGAATAATACTCTGTATAATTACTGTTTTTACATTAATGTGAGCATTGGTCTGGGGTAGACATGAATAAAATACAATTTAATGGGTAATTTGATTAATAATAGGATTAATACTCTGTATAATTACAGTTTTACATTAATGTGAGGATTGATGTTGGGGTAGATGTTTATGAAATGTAATTTAATGGGTAATTTAATAAGTAATATGAATAATAGTAATGGGTAATGGCTACTTTGTTACATTAATGTGAGCATTGGGTAGACATAGACATGAATAAAATACAATTTAATGGGTAATTTGATTAATAATATGAATAATACTCTGTATAATTACTGTTTTTACATTAATGTGAGCATTGGTCTGGGGTAGACATGAATAAAATACAATTTAATGGGTAATTTAATAAGTAATATGAATAATAGTCTGTTTAATTACTACTTTTTTACATTATTGTGAGGATTGGGCTGGGGTAGACATTTATAAAATACAATTTAAAGGGTAATTTAATAAGTAATATGAATAATAGTCTGTATAATTGCTATTTTTACAGTACTGTGATGGTTGGGTATAGCGTTAGGGCAGGGCTAGTTGTTAATAAAATACAGTTAATTGGTAATTGAAGAAATATTTCTTGTTAAGTTCTGACAGCTGTATCCCTTCTAACAACGCCTGACATTGTGCTGTTGAATAGTTGCTGCGAATTTTGATCAGTTTTCTACTCACCCCGATGAACGGGATGAATTTCTGGTAGGAGTCTTCATCCCTCCTGCAAGAAGATATTAAAGATGTGATTTGACGGACTGGTGTGTGTTGGTGTTTCGTGCAGCTCAGAGTGTGTTGTGTTTTGAGCATGGACTGGTGTGTGTTGGTGTGTTTTGTGCAGTTCAGAGTGTATTGTGTTTTGAGCATGGACTGGTGTGTGTTGGTGTGTTTTGTGCAGCTCAGAGTGTATTGTGTTTTGAGCATGGACTGGTGTGTGTTGGTGTGTTTTGTGCAGCTCAGAGTGTATTGTGTTTTGAGCATGGACTGGTGTGTGTTGGTGTGTTTTGTGCAGCTCAGAGTGTATTGTGTTTAGAGCATGGACTGGTGTGTGTTGGTGTTTCATGCAGCTCAGAGTGTATTGTGTTTTGAGCATGGACTGGTGTGTGTTGGTGTGTTTTGTGCAGCTCAGAGTGTATTGTGTTTAGAGCATGGACTGGTGTGTGTTGGTGTTTCATGCAGCTCAGAGTGTATTGTGTTTTGAGCATGGACTGGTGTGTGTTGGTGTGTTTTGTGCAGCTCAGAGTGTATTGTGTTTAGAGCATGGACTGGTGTGTGTTGGTGTTTCATGCAGCTCAGAGTGTATTGTGTTTTGAGCATGGACTGGTGTGTGTTGGTGTGTTTTGTGCAGCTCAGAGTGTATTGTGTTTTGATCATGGACTGGTGTGTGTTGGGGTTTCGTGCAGCTCAGAGTGTATTGTGTTTAGAGCATGAACTGGTGTGTGTTGGTGTGTTTTGTGCAGCTCAGAGTGTATTGTGTTTAGAGCATGGACTGGTGTGTGTTGGTGTGTTTTGTGCAGTTCAGAGTGTATTGTGTTTTGAGCATGGACTGGTGTGTGTTGGTGTTTCATGCAGTTCAGAGTGTATTGTGTTTTGAGCATGGACTGGTGTGTGTTGGTGTGTTTTGTGCAGTTCAGAGTGTATTGTGTTTTGAGCATGGACTGGTGTGTGTTGGTGTGTTTTGTGCAGCTCAGAGTGTATTGTGTTTTGAGCATGGACTGGTGTGTGTTGGTGTGTTTTGTGCAGCTCAGAGTGTATTGTGTTTTGATCATGGACTGGTGTGTGTTGGTGTGTTTTGTGCAGCTCAGAGTGTATTGTGTTTTGATCATGGACTGGTGTGTGTTGGGGTTTCGTGCAGCTCAGAGTGTATTGTGTTTAGAGCATGGACTGGTGTGTGTTGGTGTGTTTTGTGCAGCTCAGAGTGTATTGTGTTTAGAGCATGGACTGGTGTGTGTTGGTGTTTCATGCAGCTCAGAGTGTATTGTGTTTTGAGCATGGACTGGTGTGTGTTGGTGTGTTTTGTGCAGCTCGGAGTGTATTGTGTTTTGAGCATGGACTGGTGTGTGTTGGTGTGTTTTGTGCAGTTCAGAGTGTATTGTGTTTTGAGCATGGACTGGTGTGTGTTGGTGTGTTTTGTGCAGCTCAGAGTGTATTGTGTTTTGATCATGGACTGGTGTGTGTTGGTGTGTTTTGTGCAGTTCAGAGTGTATTGTGTTTTGAGCATGGACTGGTGTGTGTTGGTGTGTTTCGTGCAGTTCAGAGTGTATTGTGTTTTGAGCATGGACTGGTGTGTGTTGGTGTGTTTTGTGCAGCTCAGAGTGTATTGTGTTTTGAGCATGGACTGGTGTGTGTTGGTGTGTTTTGTGCAGCTCAGAGTGTATTGTGTTTTGAGCATGGACTGGTGTGTGTTGGTGTGTTTTGTGCAGTTCAGAGTGTATTGTGTTTTGAGCATGGACTGGTGTGTGTTGGTGTGTTTTGTGCAGTTCAGAGTGTATTGTGTTTTGAGCATGGACTGGTGTGTGTTGGTGTGTTTTGTGCAGCTCAGAGTGTATTGTGTTTTGAGCATGGACTGGTGTGTGTTGGTGTGTTTTGTGCAGCTCAGAGTGTATTGTGTTTTGAGCATGGACTGGTGTGTGTTGGTGTGTTTCGTGCAGTTCAGAGTGTATTGTGTTTTGAGCATGGACTGGTGTGTGTTGGTGTGTTTTGTGCAGCTCGGAGTGTGTTGTGTTTTGAGCATGGACTGGTGTGTGTTGGTGTGTTTTGTGCAGCTCGGAGAGTGACGTACGTTCTGTGTTTGCAGGTCAGCATGGCTTCGGCGATGGGCAGCTGGTGTGTGAGAGCCGCTCCGCTGATGAACTGAGCCACACGAGCAGCCACGTCCACTGAATCTACACACGCACACACACACACACACACACACACACACACACACACACACACACACACACACACACACACACACACACACACACACACACACACACACACACACAGGCACAGGCACAAACAGACATCAGCTAAACACAATCACTTCATGCAGTATTAATTAGAACTATTAAAGGTGTGTGTGTGTGTGTGTGTGTGTGTCTGTGTGTATGTATGTAATGTATGCATGTACAGTGGTTAGACAATGAAAATCAAACCACAATAGTTGAGGACAATTCATTAGTATGGCATACCTGTCAACATTGGGATGTTAAATTAAGGGATATACCCACCAAAATAAGGGATTCGGAAGCATTAATGCAGACCAACAGACACAGCACAGCTACGCGCATTGCATGCGCCGTGGGTTACGCCGGTCACTTGACGCAGAAGTATAAACCAGGCTTAAAGTGACGCAACTGACGCAGGTATGTCATCATGACAAAATGGCGGATGTAGTATGTGCGAATTCCATTCATACTGCTCACATTCATACTGTATAGAGCGCACTTTTCTAACGGCCGAGTAGTATATTTAAATTCAAATGCAGTACCTACTGAGTAGTAGGCGGTTTCGGACGCAGCCAAAGTGTTTTCATGCCTAAACAAAGCGAAAGCACAGAACAGACTCATGTTTAAGAGCAAGGGGCGCCCCTGGTGGTTCGGCAGTATGGGTTGTGTATAGGGAGGATCGGCTCTTTAACCACTCTGCTGCTATTTGGGGATTTCCGCCTGGATTTTGCCTACCCAAATTTAAAAGCTTCCCAAATCCACATGCAGACGTGTAAATGCAAAAATTTGGTATCATTTTAAAGAAAACCCTTTGAATTTTCATAAAACACTATTGAAAGTGTTTAAAATATCTGTATATGTCATCTGTG